CTAAAGCCTTTCTTCCTCTTTCTTCCTGACGCCCCCTCATGCTCGCAAGCCCTAACCTCCATGCCGCCCATAGCCCGTCGGCTCGCGCCCAACGGCAACTCCCGCACCTGCGACTCCCGGTTGTGCTTGAGCTCCACGGTGGCGCCTCTCGACCATTCCCGCGCCCTACGGCCTCACCCCGCCTCCCGGCTGCGCGGGGGCAAATCCGACCTCCGTTTGTGAGGGGGGGCATTGATGCGAGTGTGAGCTAGGAGAATCCACTATTTTTAGCTTCATCTCCCATCCAATCTCTTTGAGAGCGTGTTTTTAGGAGCTTTACCTGTGAAGTTATTTGCAAAAGACCTGTTTTGCACAAAACAATTTTAAACAGCTCATGAAACGGGTGGAGAAGCTGGCCTAAACACGGCCTTAGATAAGAAAATCATGTCAACACGAGAACCAAGAGACATAAAGAGTTGTAATGAGTAGATGATGAAGAGAGAATACACGTGAATGGACAAAAAAAATGTTTTGTACAAACTTTTCATTGAAAACATATTTTCTATGTGTATTGTCTATATAAATTAATAGACATAGAAATTATCTATAATTTTTAGCATTAGAACTGCTTTTAACATTTTTGCTTAGTGAACATCCTAATTAAGGCCATGTTTGGTTCTTTAGGTGTCTCCTAAAATTTTGTCACATCGAATGTTTTGACACATGTATGAAGTATTAAATATAGATTAATTACGAAACTAATTGCATAACTTGTGACTAATTTACGAGACAAATCTTTTAAGCCTAATTAGTCCATGATTTGACAACGTGATGCTACAGTAAATATGTGCTAATGACATATTAATTAGGCTTAAAAAATCATCTTAGAAATTAGCCTCCATCTATGTAATTGATTTTGTAATTAATCTATATTTAATGCTTCTTATTAGTATCTAAACATTCGATGTGACATGAATTTTAGGAGAGACTAAAGAACCAAACACCCCCTAATACGGTCAAATGATTTCTTTGAAGCGCTTACTAGCCAACGGCTCCTCGGACCAGATGGTCAGGATGTTCGGTCGGCACTCTCGCGTGCAGGGTTTGAACCCCCACGGGTGCGCTCGTTCGCCTGCCGGAGTTAAAAAAAATCCCCTCGCCTGTCCTGAGTTTTCCAAAACACAGATAAATGGACCGGCTCACTCACAGAGTACCGGACCCCTGTGTAAGGGCGGAGCACGGGGTTTGAGGGTTTCCTCGGTCTACGTGAAAATGTCTTTTTTCTTAAGCACAAAGTTAAGAGACTATCTACCCACCGTAGGCCAGAGTTTTTTTTTAAGCGCTTACTAGAATTCCACGTGGAAACGGTCAAATGATTTCGCAACGGCAGAAAACTAGTACTACCAGTAGTACGCAACTGAAAATATGTGAGTAGCAGGCTAGCAGCTGTGGCAGCAACGTGTGGTGCACGCTGCGGAGAGTACAGCGGCACGGCGGCCGCATCCAGCGAGCCTCGTACAATGGGGCATGATGGGCGTGGCCGTGGCCTCGTGAGACCTTGCACTTGAACACTTTGCAGGCGGGGGATGGGGCCGGGCATGACCAAGACGTGCAGCGACCGTCGCTGGCTGCATGGCACTGGATGGATTCATCAGCAGGTCGCGTCGGGTCGCTATCCGGCCATCCGGAAGAAAATTTTCTTTTAGAACAGGAAGTCATCTCGGTTACACAAAAAAATAAATTACAAGACGTTTGGTGCACGCTGCGGAACCTATTATTAGCACATGGCGTATCCGCATCACTTTATTATCAAATCTCGTACAATGGGGCATGATGATTCGTGGCCGTGGCCTCGTGAGACCTTGAGTTATTTTTTAACATATTTAATACTTTATGTTGGGGCATTGATGGATACATACCAAGACGTGCAGCGAATGTCGCTGGCTTTCATGGCACTGGATGGATTCATCAGCAGGTCGCGTCGGGTCGCTATCCGGCCATCCGGAAGAAAATTTTCTTTTAGAACAGTGGTAGTCATCTCGGTTTTTTGTAAAAACAAGATTCTCAGAATCAGTCTTTGAACACATGCATGAAATATTAAATATAAATAAAAAATAAAACTAATTACACAGTTTAGACGAAATTCACGAGACAAATCTTTTAAGCCTAATTAGACTATGATTAGACACTCATTACTAAATAACAACGAAAGTGCTACAATACTATTTTCAAAAAAAAATTTGCCAAACCAGTCCATAATGTAAACTTTTAACGAGGAACTGTTGACAGCGACGCATCTTTACAGACGAGTCGTCTCTTGTTGGCTTGGATAGGATAGTACTCCTATAGAACAACAGCCCCGGTAGCGCTATGCAGAATTACCGAGTCAAGCCACGAGCCCACGACCCGAGCGTCTGTTTGTGTGTGGTCAAGCAAAAAGGTTCTTGCCAAGTTAACTTTAGACTTCAGTATGGGATTTAGCTTTGCTGACAGAGCAACCTAATCGTGATGTTATATTCTTTGAGCCTGTTCGCGGGTTGGTTTCTGGACTGATAAACTTGGCTGGTGCTATTTGTTGTGAGAGAAAAATACTATACCATGACTGATAAGTCCTGGCTAAAACTAACAAGCGAGCATGCTGTTTGACGCGTGTCTTCCTCGTATCTGACCATGGCGCTCTCGTTGTCGGTTAGTGTTTGAAAAAAATTTAGGCAACTGAGGGTGGGCATTGATGGTCAGCGAGGAAAGGGAAGATGTGAAGTGGGAAGCAAGGAGGTGTTTCTTAGGACAAAGAAGGTGCGTGGGTTGTTTAGCCCACAAGCAACAAGGGATTGTTAGTGAAGGTGGTTGTATTTTCCATCGATCTTCACATACGAGAGGTGCGGGCTCAATTTTTCAGAGCGACCAAATCTTAGGGGAAGGTTTGGAGAGTTGTTGGACCGGTGTTTTTTCTCCTAATCACGTAAATTTTAGTTTTGAGAATATTATTAGCCTTCTCTTGGAGATGCTCTAATAGTTAGTAATTAACTAATAGCTCATAACTAATATTAGCTAGCTAACTATTAACTATTATTAGCTGGTATGATCTAATTAGTGAGATAGTTGTTAATTGAGTACTCAACTAATAATTAACTAGTCTATGAGCTGGATTTGTATGATCTAAAAGAGCTAATTATTAGCCGTTAGCTATTAGCTCTATAGATCAAACGGGGTCCAAGTCTTTGGTTTGGCGTGACGTGTCTATCAATAGCAAAAGGTCTGGTGGCTTTGTTAAAAATATTGAGATATGTCATCCAGTCTCTCGGAGGAGACGTTTGTAGGATAGAGTACAGTGTCAACACGTATGTATGTAAGTGTAGGGGCACATTATTCATGTGTATATATATGTGTGAATGCTTTTTGGGGTTTAAAAGACAAAAAGAATCCCAAGACTTACAATATATTAGATCTGAGCAAAAGAGGCTTGGACCACACATGCTACTGGACAGGGCCGGCCTGTATGACGAGAAGCAAACCCATGAAAATTTTCTTGGCCCAAACTTTTTATTTTAATTATTTTTCAACTAAAAAGAGCGGGCAAACGTCTGGACGTTAGCCCAGCCTGAAATTGATGCCTAACTTCGCCAATTAGATGTTATTGGGTATTGAAGTTCGGCTTGAAAAATCCTTGTTTGAATTTCTGGCGCGATATGGTTTGCAAAATACTTAGCTCTACTATACTACTATATATATCGCACTCGGCTCAGCCACAATTGGTTTCTACCTTTTAGAAGAGGTCTCTTTCATCTCTGAACTATTTCCATGATATGTTTTTCTATCTTGAACTCCAAAACCTACCTTGAACTCCAAAAAAACATCTTACCTCTCAACTCTCGGAATATTTAAATTACCTCCCTATTGGTTTAGAAGTGGTTGTCAATGCAATCTCATCATTTTTATAGTTATAAAAGATCCACTAAATATCCGATAAGATTCTTAAACCACGAAAAAAATCTCTAAACTTCTAAAAATATTGGGTAAAAAATATAAATAAAATATTTTAGAGCTCATGAAAATATCTCTAAATCTGGAAGGTTCCAAAATTAGATTTAATTCTTGGAGAATGGAAAAATATATCTAGAAAAAACTGGAAGATTTCATAACATTCTAATTGATGTCTAAATGTGTTTTGAAAACTTTCCACGAAAAAACATGAGATGCATCTAGCAGAAAGAAGCATACATTTAATGTTGAATGCATCAATGCTAGTTTAATCTCATGTTTTTGTTGTGGAAGATTTTTTTAAAATATGCTTAGACATCGATTATCATGTTTTGTGTATTTTTCTAGTTTTTTTATATTCTTCTCACTTTCTAGACCTAAATCTAACTTTGAACATTTTTAGATAAATTTTATTTAGATTTATCGAGTCCCTGTCTATCTCTAGGTTTTTTATTGAATTTTTTCAGAAGTTTAAAAACATTTTTCATGATTTTATTAAAATCGTATTAGGTATTTACTATTTTTTAATTAGAAGAATACAATCATTTTGATTTTTGAGGGATATATAACCATTGATAACCACTTCTAATCAAAGTTCTAAATTATAAAATATTTTATTTTTTAGATACATTAATTTTATTATTATCTAGACATGGTAGATAGCAAAAATTATGTATTTAGAAAATCAAAACGTCTTATAATTTAGAATGGAAAGAGTAGAAGATATAAGAGGTCTGAATTTGAAGTTTGATGAAGAGAAAAAGAAAATACGGAGTACTAGACGAAACGATAATTGAGCACCGAACTGGATCCGATCCATACACTATCAAACACCTCCTGCCCTCTTCAGCCCGCAACTTCGCTATTCTCCACAAGGCGGTGTGGGCTGGGCTGCTTCCGTCCCAAGTCGGCGAGTCGCCAAGTCGTCCCTCCCCGACGCTTCCGGCTTTCCGTGCCCTTTTCCTCCTCTCGCAGCTCGCAGGCGCAACAGATTCCACCTGTTCCTTCGGGTGGCCAGACGAATCGAGGAGGGAGGCAGGATGGCCTCCGACGGCCACCCGCCGGAGCCGGGGAAGAAGGAGGAGGTCGCCTCCACGGCCGCTGGGCCTGGAGCCAACGATCTGGACGACCCGCAGTTCATGTGCTGCGTCTGTCTGTGAGTTTGTTGCCGATGCGGCGTCCCCTTTCCCCTCTTTGATTCCTCTCCTCTCGTCGGGACACTGTAGATCGTTTTGTGATTATGGGGGAGGCTTTGATCCTACGTACGTCGGCAAATTGTTCGTGCTCGTAGCTTGCCCCTAAATTTCTTTACCGGCGATATGCTAGATTGCGTTATTCTTATTCGTAGGGGCAGAGCACGCTGCATTATTATGTTAAATCATTTTGAGATTGATCGTGCCAGGGCCTTGGCACATTTACCTCCCCATATTCTAAGGTGCCAGCAAAATCTGTAGAATGACTCATTTGCATGTGTTTACATCTATGCAAAACAAATGTCCATTTATGCACCTTGCTCGATTCATATGTATTGCAAAACTATGTACCTAGGAATATCGTTAACAGAACCTAGCTGCTCTAGTACGTAGTACGCCCTGGCACTTTGGGGGACGCTGGCACCTGAATTTATAGCCAGCAGATCAGTGTCACAATTCGCACTCTCCAGCACGGTTATGGTTCAAGTTGGGGCTTCACTGAAGTCTGGTGGGCCTAGAAAGAAGCCAATGGGGGTAGGCTAGTCCGATTGTGGTAGCGGGTGGTGCATGGAGTGGCAAGGTTGCGGGGGTGCTGCCGACTGTGGGGCGGAGGACCAGCAGCAGGCTGGGTCAGGGAAGGGTTGTTGTTGGATCTGGCCGCAGGAGACGCCAGCAATTAGTAAGGAGGGTGTTGGAGGAATAACTTGCCTGAGGTGCTCACAGGCATTGTGGTGGTGCGTCCGGGAGGGAACGACCTATTATGAAGAAAATTTTGGGTGTGAGACTGCTTGAAAAACAGCCGAGGGAGTGGGCAAGTGGCAAATTGAATGCATAGGAACAACATAATTCAGTTAGCATGCTTGCGGAACTCCAATGTAACAAAAAAAAACAGCTGAGAACACTATTGAACAGAATGTGGCAAAGCGTTTTCAAAATGATGACTGAGCATGAATAGGAGGTGAAGCGATTCGGCCACCTCACTGAGTCCAGTGTCTTGTGAAACAACATAATTTTTCCTCAACCAATAATATCACAAATGGAACTAATCAAATAGTGGCCTATGCAAACTTAAATAGAATATCTGATGAGTGATTACTCAGCTTGCTATGAGTTGAGTTCATGTGGTGCTAGTGCCTGTTGGGCACCACAACGACGCCGAGCCTCCACATTGCTATTTTTGTATCTGTAAACAACGTGGTAACACTGAATTCTGTGTATGCATAAAAACACAATCTTGTACCCTTTTTTTGTTTGTTTGGGATATTTTATTTGCATTCTGCGGAGCTATAATTGAAGGGCGGGCCTGGTGCAAGCGGTAGAGTCTTACCGCCTGTGACCGGAAGGTCCTAGGTTTGAGTCGCGGTCTTCTCGCATTGCACAGGCGAGGGTAAGGCTTGCCACTGACACCCTTCCCCAGACCCCGCATAGAGCGGGAGTTCTCTGCACTGGTTACGCCCTTTTTTTTTCTACGGGGCTATAATTCTGCACGAATGTACCAATGATCTCATCTGTTTAACCAATCTGTTTTGCAGGGATCTTCTGTACAAACCAGTTGTTTTATGTAAGAGTTCATTTTTCATGTTTACATAAAACAGCTTGACTATGTCATACTCTACAAAACTCATTTATCATCTACTGGTGCAGCATGTGGTCATATGTCATGTTTCTGGTGTGTCCACAAAGCTATGCATATTTTCCGGGAATCCCATTGCGCTGTGTGTAGGCAGCCCTATATACACTTTCCAAGTATCTGTCATCTCTTGCATCATTTGCTTCTAAAGCTTGAAACTACTGATTACAAAAGAAGGGAAAAGGAAGTACTAGGTGAGTATTCTACACCCTAAAACCAATATGCAAGCATTGCATTTATTTTTTGATATAGGTCAAAACAAAGATAATTATGGTGGGTAGGAGCATTGCAAGAGCAATATTGATTTTTTGCGTGTATGGTGTTCATGTTGGCTTAGGTTGTCTCATTGCTTCACAGTGATTGGTTTGGAGTCTTGCTGCTTCATCCAGCACATCCCCCCCCCCAACCTATTTTACTAGTTACTCCCTCTGTCCCAAATTATAGGTTTTTTTGGCTTTTTTAGATACACAATTTATGCTATGCGCCTACTGCCTAGATATACGTTATGTATGCACACTAAAAACTATGTATCTAAAAAAAGACAAAATGACCTATAATGTGGAACGGTGGGAGTAGTAATGTGTGCACTTTCATTTTTAGGAATTAACTCTATGTTCACTTTCGGCTTACATTTCAGAGGAAGAGAAGCGCATACAAACATACTCTCCCCAAATCATTGAGTTTTTGAACTTCAAGAATAATGGTAAGAATTTTGCCATATAATTACGGTTGTAGTTATCTCCACTTCCATAGTATCTCACAAATCTCAAATAGTATCTCCATTTCCATTACATCTCATAAGTCTCCATATTTACTTCATTACATCTCATATCTTAGTCTTTCATTACATGGTATCACGCTAAATTCGATCCCCACCTTATTTTTCCTCGCTTTATCCCCTTATCCCGCCCATCTCCCCTCGACCCATTCGACCCCTTCGCGCTGCGCCTCGATTACCCACTTTCTTTTATTTTTTGTAAGTTGGAAGCGATGGGGAGAACAGAAATGAAGACAGTAAAGCTAGACCTCCACAAGAAGTTTCATTGAATGGCAGCATTTCGGATAAGCATTCGAAGAAAATTAAGTTGGAGGATGCTTCATGCCCTCTCTGTACGGAAATGCTGTATCAACCTGCCGTTCTTAATTGTGGTCATGGTAAATTCTAGTTTCAGAACTACTACTTAACTTGTTTTGGAGATATTAACTTATGTTGGTTTTGTGATAGTGTATTGTGTATCCTGTTTGTCGTCCTTGAATGAGGAAACACTGAAATGCCATGTTTGTGGAAGTCTTCACCCTGGAGATTTCCCTAATGTTTGCCTGGACCTTGATCATTTCCTGGAAGAATATTTTCCAGCAGAATATGAATCGAGAGGGCAGAAAGTTCAGTTTAAGAAGGATCAGTGCAATCGTGGATATTCAAACATAAGTAGTATCATCTTCTCGGCATGGGTCCTTCAGGCGGATTTAGGTAAGCTTTGGCTCACTCCGGGGTGGCCTATTCATCAACTTGATGTGAAGTTACCAAGTTCTATTTCACCCACCGGGTTTGTTGATCCCGCTCTTCCCGGACATGTGTGTCGGCTCAATAAGTCTCTCTATGGTCTATTCTCTCACCTATATAACAGGGTAAGATCCCTTGTTAGAAGGGAAAAAGGTCATCTTTGATGGCACTTGCTAGCTGATGGGATACCTCCAGTAACACTAACTTATATGGAGAGAATAAGGAATCCAAACCATGCATGAGATTGAGCGATACCTTGTATAAACTTGACCAAACCATGCATGAGATTGAGTGATACCTTGTAATTTGTATAAACTTCACCCGACAGTGTTAAAGATATGCCCTTGCTAGTCCAAGCCAATCTCGTGCCGTTGGTTAGCCATATACATTTCATATTAAGTTGTTTGCCCTTGATTACCCATGCTAATGGATGGTGACTGTAGTTTCCTTACAATTTTCTCGTTTTACTTAAGATGGGTGCCAACAGCAGTGTGGACTCAGTAACATTGTAGAGCCTGGGCAAATTTGATCTATTTGTCGTGAATGTTTGAAATGCTATGAAAACTCTATTTCCAATTTCGGAAGAATATTTTCCAGCAGAAGGGCATAAAGCCTTGTTGACTGAACGGATACTTGGTGTTTTGCCTAATTGCTTGGCTCTCCTATTGGTTGTTCATCCCTTGTTTGCATGTGTTTGTGGTTTGTTGTCTCTGTGTGTTTGGAGTATTTGTTTGTTAGTTTGTGGGTGCCAGCAGCAGTGTGGACTCAGTAACATTGTAGAGCCTGGGCAAATTTGACTTGTTGTGGTTCGTGTGTGTAGCCTTGTTGACTGAACGGATACTTGGTGTTGTTAATTGAGGTTATCTTGTTTGTGTGTGTTTGTTGTCGTTGTGTTTGGGTTTTGTTTGTTAGGGTTTTCTTGTTCCCCTTTTGAGGTTATCTTCGTTGTTTTGGGGTTTTCTTGTTCCCCTTTTTTCCTTAATATAAAAGATACACAACTCTCCTGCGTGTCTGATGGAAAAAAAAAACTCTATTTCCAGTCCTTACAATAACACTAAAATTCTATTGTGTGCTCTTCAAGGTACCCGGAAGCTGCTCAGGGTTGGCGGTGGTGAGCACCAGACCCAATGGCAACAGTCATGCTTAGGCCTCAACAGTCATAATTGTCACAAGATTGTCCAAAAAGGCTTGACATCTCCAAATAAAGACAAAAAATAAACTTCAGATTGTAGTTTGTGTAGGAACTAATTGTAATCTTGGGGAATCACTGAACAATACATGTGGTTGTAGTTATGGTGTAATTTCACTTAGTGCTCCAAAAAAATAGTTTATTGCTCAAGTTTTTGTTGGCTTCTAGCAATAGTGTGATATAAATACCTGACATGGAAATTGTATAGAGTATCTTTGATATGTTTTTTGTGTAATGTTTCTATTCTATAAAATATGCATTTCTAATGAATTACTTTACTAACTGTAATACTGTTTTAGTCATTAGACCTTTCCATTTAGGGACAAGTACTAGAATATCAGATCGGATGATACTAGTTTGTGGATCAAGAGGGATGTAATGTTATTGCTAATTTGCTATGGTATATATTGGTTGAAGTCTTCTAATATTTAACATTGTGTAGAGCTACTGCAATAGGTTGTAGAAATACTAATTTACCAACACAAGTCACTAGTTATTTACGGGCCACAGCCGCAGTTGAAACTGGGCAGTTGCAGGTTCCACCACCACAGGAAGATACCGAACCACCTGTTCTGATTACTAATGCTGTAGTCATTGTCTAGGATAACCCTTTTACGGGATTGGGTTTTTGAATCATTTTTAAATAGTTTAGATATATTCATACAAGGTTAGCTGTTCAACTTTTTTTTTCCGTCTTGGTGTAGATATGTTTGTGGTTCATTACATCATGCAGTTTGAGATCTTATTTAGGCCTTAAAACTAAGGCATGGAGCACATATTAGGTACCCCTCTCTCCTTTTTTTGGTAGCTAACTCAAGTGTTTTTTGTGCTGTTTAGGTACTTCAGGCAGAAAAGGAAGCATAGCACTGCATGATGAGGACCTGTTAAATATTCACATTTCAGTAGGATGCGACTCATGTGGGGTATGTACAAGTTATAAACGTTTTATTAGTTTTGAGCTTATCAATACTCGTAAAACATACACACAAAGCAAAATTTACTGTTAAAGTAGATAGAATGATTTCTTTGACTTCACAATCGTTCACCTTGAATTGGTCTATAGAAATACAGTTTCATCTTTCTTTTTCTGCAAGTGTATAGCATTCATGCTAGCTGTATTGATGTTACTCGCCAATTGGATGACCTTGAGTTGATCATTTATTTCTGTGGAAAGGGTTGATTCAAATCCTCCAGTTCTTTGAGACCAACATACATCATTCAAAGCTACTAATAACTTATATAAGAACAGTCATAATCAGTAACGTGCTGAATGTCTATACCAACATGTGGGTTTTTGAATCATTTTTAAATCCTAAAAGGTTACAGCTATTTATCCAAATAGCTTCAAAACACGTGTTGTTTTACAGCAGAGACTACTAGTCTTTGTTCTTTGCTTTTTTAGAAGTTCACACGATTATTCCTTTTTTTGGGCGCAAAAGACATCTGCCTTTAATTCCGTAGGCTTCTTAGAGGACCCAAATCGTAACACATTAAGTTTTTGCTAATTGTCTTCTAGCTTGTAACCTTTTTCTTTGGCAGAATACAGTTTTTAGCTTTTACTGATGGTAGTTTTTATCTTAGTGCTTGTTCCGTGATGAACCTTATTGTCCTCTATTTCCAATCCTTACAGTAACCTTAATATCAAGTCAGACATGGACAACAATTGTAAAACATTTTCGCATCATGTATTAAATTATTTTCAGTTTGCTAAGATGAAACTGGTGAACACCATGCAGGTATATCCGATACGTGGTAAGAGATACAAATGCCAGGACTGCACTGAGTTAATTGGGTTTGACCTTTGCGAAGCCTGCTACAACTCCAGTTCAAAGCTCCCAGGACGCTTTAATCAGCGGCACACCCCTGATCACAGAATGGAAGTTGACAATTCAGCACTGTTGGGAGGGATACTGAGACAGCATGGCATACCCGAGGAAGGCCCTGAGGGATTGATGATGGAAGAAGCGGTGGTTGCTCCTGCTGCACTGGTGCAGATACTCATTGATCATCAAGGAATGGAGGAGGTTAATGACGAGGGCCCTGGAGAGGCGGCCATTGAAGAACCAGTTGGTGCTCCTGGCGCGATGTTGCATATAGTCATCCATGATCAAGAAATGGAGGGCAACGAGGAGGATCAGGCACTCTAGATGCAAATTGCATAGCTGCAGCGAAGCCTTTGTTTTACGTTGCTGGGGCAGGCTACACGTGTGTGATGTGAAATGGAGGGATTGCACAAGCTTAGGTATGGCTGGATCGGCCTTGTTCATATTCCTGGTTCTCTAGTTACTGCCATCTAAGGGCCATATGATTTTATTTTTCCTGCTTCTGTAAATCCGTGCATGTTTCGAATGAAATTGCAATAAGGATATGCAGAACTGTATTGGTAAATCTGCACCAGCTTACTACTTTTTGGGGATGAACTGCGTAAACTGTCCACTTGTCCCGGCGGTAACGCTTTTAGAAACTTGTGAACTGTGACTGTGACCTCTTTCTACCGCGTGTGCCTTGGCTTCCCCTTTACGCTTTCGAAGTTCTTTGTGCCAGTTGATTATATATATATATATATTAGAATCGCCAGTTGATTATAGTGGTGGCAATGCGGGGACGGGCGCGGTCGGCGTGGGGCAGCCCACGACAGTTCGCGGGACAGCCAAGTACACCCTAAAGTATGGTAGGAGGCATAGCCCATTTAAGCATGGCATTAGCACGACACGAGCTGGCCCAGTGGTAGTTGTGTCTAGGGATGGCAGTGGGACGGTTTTAGATCAGGGCCCATGAATTTTGGGTCCTGGGACAATTCCGAGTTCGAGGGCCCAAAATTTATCATGTGTGGTGCAGGTTTTGTGTTGGAAAAAAGTCTACATTACTCCCCTTAACTTTTGTGAAAATCTGCTTTTTCTCCCCAAACTCTAAAGCCGGGTAAACCACCTCCCAGAACTTTTAAAACCGTTCATTTTATCTCCCTGACCGGTTATAAGCGGTTTTCAAAGGCGGTTTTGTCTTTTTTTTTTATTTATTTCGGCCAAATCTTTGAAAAATCATAGTAAATCACAGAAAAATCATAAAATAGAAAATCCATTTTGTTGGACTCCAAGTGAGTAGATCTACACAGTGAACATATAATATGGTATGCTTTAGTATATTTTTTTTGTAGCTTAGATCTATGTTTTCTATAATTAATTCATACCTGCAGTTTTCATGGTCCAATTATGGTGAATTTTTTATGGTGGGCTAATTATTATATGTTTGAACTGTAGTAAAAATTTCATACTCATTTGATCTTGTATAACTTAGTTATATATTTATTTAGGTGTATATTTGTTAAAAAGTATTTATAAATCTAGAACTAAGTTATACATGATGGAACACCATGGAAACGCCGATGGAAGGTAAGGCCAAAAATTCAATTGATGGAAGAAAAAAAAAAAGAAGAGGCCACACGAAGAGTTCAGTTATCTATTTTATCTTTATTATTTTAGAGCTTTCTATGTCTTACGTTTAGTGAAAACTTGTGCTAGTTAATTCATTCACGATATCAACCAATTTAATTAGGATCTTGTTCATCGTTCTAGGAACACATTCCATTTACACTTGGTATGTGTTCCACTAATCGAAGGAATGAGATCAAGCTGTATACCCTCTTCGTCCCATGGACTTAAGAAACAACGTACCACGTACCGCGTTCCCGTACCACGATCCCAACGTTCCGAGAACTTGGCTGCTATGGGCCTCACCCCTACATGACTCATCCATGTAGCCATCGCCTGCTCTTGTAGTCCTTAGGCGGTGCAGCCAGCAGGGGAGGATGCCCGCAGGCTGCGTGGCACACCTAGCAGGGGCAGTGGGTCAGCAGGGCTGCAAGGGACGACACACCATAGAACGACATCTGACGTGCATCCCTCAAGAGGCGGCCGACACATCCTTCTACTTCGGCGGCGGCCAACAACACATATTTCCAAGCGAGCTCCATCCCGTGACACATCCTTCCCCTGGCGAACTCCATCCCCTACGACACGCTTTTCCCTGGGCTCTGTCGGTAGTGTTATTCCATTTGCTATGTTGGCATACAAATTTCATGGATTGTATAGTGGTGGGTTTCGGAGATCCACCGGGTTCGGTGGCGATGGTGGTATTATCAACCAATGAGGTGTTTAGGGTGGATCCAGGTTTTAAGTTTAGGTTTCACCGTTTCAGTTCACCGTTTCAGGGGCGAGCGCTTGATCCAAATCTGTCTTGTTGCCATCTCTAATCATGTGCGAGACGTGGTAAGAGCCAAATGGTCGAGAGAGGAATGAGTTGGGCTCTAAAAATTTAAAGCAACAATCTTGGTCTATGCAAATTGTAAACCCAAGCACTGTGATACCTAAACTTTTCTAAAAAAAGTTATTTAGTACTAAGATTACTTGAATATCTTGTATTTTAGGACGGGCAAAGAAAGAATGGATCATTGGTTTTAAAAAACTGATCTGGATGGGTACAACATTCCTTCTAGCACTGGTGGTGCTCAAGTCGTGATCTTTGGGCGAACCGCTTCACCACAGACGGATCACGAAACCAAGAATCACTTGCTTATACAAGAAAAAAAAGTTTGAGAAATAATAATATAAAAGAAATGCATGCCATTTTTATAGGGTCTAGACCAGTTACTCATCAATTGTAAAGTGCAATCATAATATAAGTTTTGAGCGGTGCCTAAAGCATGTGGCTACTCGCGTTCGTGAATCCTAAGCAACGACGTGCGACGGCCTAAAGCAGCGGGCAATGTGAACGTGAGGCAGGCGCAAGTGGTGGTGGTGTCCGTGGCGGTGACCGTGCCCGTGCCTGTTCCCCGCCGACGCCGAGGCCTCCTCCACCGCCCGCATGAACCGCTCGACGGCGCACGGGACGACGACGGCGCCCTGGTGCGCGAAGCCGTACTCCTCCCTGGCCTCCCCGAGCAGCTCCAGCCTCCAGCATCCGCGGGTGGCCCAGGCGCGCCACGGGCACCGCCACCCGCCGCGGGGCCTCCCCTTCCTCCCCGACCCAGAACGTTGCGCACCCCTTGGTGACCGTCGTCCGCGCCGCGTCGTCGTCGTCCGGCGCGTCGTGCCGCGAGGGGGTCCCCGCGAGGAGGTGGGCGCGGGCGCCTTCTTGCACCTGCTGCTGTTGGTGACGCTGCGGCTTCATCGGTCGGGTGCTCCCCGTATGCCGCGGCCCGCGAGCGCCTTCCTCGTCGTCCGTCTGGATCAGCTCGCGCGACGCGATCCCCTGTCGGACGTCTCCGTGTCGGTGTGAGATTGGTTAGACGTGTGAATGATGGAGCGGAGGGACCCGCCGGATTTATGCGTCGGGGACGAGGAGTTGAAGGCGGTGGTGTCTGCGTGCGTAGGTGCGTACAGCGTGCGTACGTACGCGCGCGCTCTCCGCTCGCGTCGTGTTCGCTAGTGTTCGGTGCCGACTCCTCGCGGATTCTCGGAGACGGTGTGGAGTGGCCGATCCGCCGGACTCGGATTCCATCTCACAGTCTGACAGTTCTTCTAAAAACCTGGATCGTTGGTGAAGCGAATGCCCACTTACCCTGGCCCCGTTGCCGTTGCCAACCCGGCGCGCGCCAAGACGTCTGTCAAAAGCCCAACGCATCAACCCCCACCAGGCCACTAGGTTTCGTTATGGCCCATCAACCCACCTAACGCCTAAGACCTATTGCTCCTGCCTAGTCGACAGGTGGCTGGAAAAAAAAACTTCTCTCAGTTCTGTTCTATCCTCGGTCTGGACTGGCGAGTCGAGCATCGCCGTCGCACTCACCCGCCTCGTGCTGCTGCCGCACACGTACGCCACGCGCTGCCGTCCTCACCCCTCGCTGCTACCCGCGTGGTTGTGCCATCTCTCTCTGTACTTGGCGGAATTCTACCTGGCGCCATATCACCGTCATGCCCACACAGTAGGAGTTGGCAAAACCCGATACCCAATACCTGTACCCGAATTACCCGAACACGTATCCGAACTTCCCGAACCCAAAATAACCGATTATAACTTTGCATAGTGACTCCAAGGGTGCGTTTGGGAGCGTGGCCCAAGAGCCCGACTGCGCTAGTGGGCTGCTGAAAGCTCTAGTTTGGTTTTGGTGAATTGATAAAACCCTAAGTGCTAACCTAATTTATCAAAGTGATTATGAGATAGGTAGCACTACTCCAAGTAATGAAGCAATGGTGAAGATCATGATGATGGTGATGATCAAATGCTTGGACTAGAAAAGAAGAAAGAGAAAAACAAAAAGCTCAAGACAAAGGTAAAACTTGATAGGAGCTTTTTCGTTTTGGTGATCGAGACACTTAGTGAGTGTAATCACATTTAGGATCGATAGCCGTACTATTAAGATGGGTGAAACTCGTATCGAAATGCGGTTATCAAAGTGCCACTAGATATTATAACTCATTGCATATGCATTTAGATTTAGTGGAGTGCTAACACCCTTGAAAATATTTGTGAAAATATACTAAAACACGTGCACAAGGTAATACACTTAGCGTTTGGTATATTTGAGCAAGGGTGGAGAAGTTAGTGAAGTAAAGGAGGTGATTGTCATTGTGAAACAGTGACCGGACTCGAGGGAGCAGCGTCCGATCAATTTTAGATGAAGTTGGTGCGCTCGGGCTCTGTTATTGAAGTGACAGGACGCTAGGTCAAAATGTGACCGAACGCAACAGTGGTGAGTCCGGTCAGAAGAAGCCAAGGCAGCACAACCTAGGGTATTACATCGGACACTGAGCTGGCTCCGGTCGAGGTACACCGGACGTGTCCGATCGATAAAATGAGGCTCTGGATGCTCTCTGAAAGTGACCGGACTCCACGTTATTGGAGCGTCCGGTCATTCCATCGGTGCGTCTGGTCACTAGGTGTTGGTGCGCAGGTGCGTGAGGACCTGACGCGGGCGTGGTGCGTCCGGTCAGCTTGCCTGCGCGTCCGGTCACAACTTAAGTGCACTGATGACCGTTGAGATCGGGCAATCAGCATTGGAAGCTGGGGACACATGGTGAAAATCTGAGGACCGGACGCTGGGGTCCTGCGTCCGGTCAATCCGACCGGCGTGTCTGGTCGCCTCAATTTTTTAGGGAACAGAGAGCCAGCGCCTCTATTCGTGGGGGCTCTCTATTTAAGCTCTATGGTCGGCTCTAGCTCACTCTCTTGGCCTTTTTGCATTGACATAGCAACCATGTGAGCTTAGCCAAAGCCCTCCCACTCATCTCCATCATTGATTCATCATTTTTGTGAGATTGGGAGTGAATCCAAGTGCATTACTTGAATGTTTGCATCTAGAAGCACTTGGTGTTCGTGTTTCGCTATGGGTTTGGCTTGTTACTCTTAGTGGTTGCCGCCACTTAGACGGCTTGGAGCAGCGAGGATCGTCGAGCGGAGGTTGCTGATTGTCTCTGGCTCCGATCATGGTGATTGTGAGGGGTTCTTGACCTTTCCCCAGCGGAGAGCCAAAAGGTACTCTAGTAAATTGCTCGTGGCTTGTGTGATCCTCATCTTGTGTTGATTGTGCGGCACCCTATTGGGGGTTTGGCGGGTGATACCAATTAGCGCGTGAACCTCCAAGTGAGTGAATCGTCACAACGAGGACTAGCTTACCGGCAAGCAAGTGAACCTCGGTAAAAAATCATTGTGTCATCATTTGATTCCGAGATGATTGGTATTCATTCTTGTGATCGATTGGTTCATTCCTCGACTCGGCGGTATAACCATCTTGCCTCTCTCTTTACATTACCGTAAACTAGTTGTCAAGCTCTTTAGTGTAGCTAGTCGTGAGAGTTTGTTAGTTTAGTTAGTGTGGCTCTTTAGTTAGCCTTTGAGAGCACACTAACTTAGTGTAGTGACATAGCCATTGTGTGGATAGAGATTATAGAAACTAGAATTGTGGTAGGTGGCTTGCATTTTTAGTAGGCTAGCACAACACTCGCTTCGCCTCATATTTGTCTAACCGGTTTGCTAAGTGTTGTTGTGGAAATTTTTAATAGGCTATTCACCCCCTCTAGCCGTTAGGACCTTTCAGCTGCAACTCCCGTGTTTGGGAGCCTTGGCCCGCTCAGCAGCCCGGTCGCCGGGGTACAAAACGGCCCCCTCCGCCTGGTTCCGGGGAAATGAAACTAGGGTTCATTTCTCCTGGGCGCGGCTGCGAGCGGCGCGAGGGCAGACGATTTTGGGTGATTTTGGCGGCGGCGGCTGGCTCACGTGGGCTCGCGTGGGAAGAGGGAAAGGTCTGTGCTTGCTCTCCCCACCGGAGAAATCCTTCGCCTTTATAAGCATCATTTGCTGCTGCTTCTCCTTCCTTCCTCTATGTGCTCTTTGCCTTCCTCTAGCCACATGAGAGACTGGCGGTGGTGGTGAGCTGGTGTGCATCGCGGCGGCATCCTCTCCCGGTGGGCTTCGTCTCTGTTCCCCCGCCTTGGATCTGCTACGACACGGCGCCGCTTCATCGACCGCGGGGACTCCATGGAGGCGGTCGTCTTCTTCCCTCTTCTTCTGTGGGTGCGGTGGTGGTGAAGCTCTTCTTCTGGCCCAATTGCTTCCTCTCTGGCCGGATCTGCTTCGTCTGCCTTGCCGGGTCTTGTTCTTCCTCCTGCTGCGCCACTCCTTTGCGTCGACGCCGACCCCAAGGTGAAATCGACCCCCAATCATCCCTGCTTCATGGCAATGATGTTAGGGTTTCATATCCTAGTTGGTGTTCATGATTGGTTCATCTGATTTGAGTACTACTTGGTGTTCCTCGATGGATTAGGGTTTGCTATCATAGTTCAGTGATGGTCGTTCTTACAGTCTTTCTTGCTTGCTACTATGATTTGCTTGTTCCTTGATGAGCTTTGTATACCTGACGCGTTTCTTGTTGTTCATATGGTTTGTTTCTGTATTTTTATGATATGGTCGATGATGTTGTCCTGAGCACCTGGAGGCATGTACCTAAATGCAGCAGTGCTTTATTTGCTTACTGAATCATTGTACAATCATGTTGAGGCCAGGCAGGGTATGATGATCTGAGTTTGTGTTACATTGTTATATGCATGTAGATGGATCCCTCTATGAGCCGTGAGATGATGTGTAGGCAAGCAGCTGCCCTGGTTATAGTCATGGTGTCCTTTGTTACCAGTAGGCTTAAAAGGAAAAGGGCTGATAGTAAACCTGACCCTCTGCTGTATGCACTTAGGGATGAAGCTGACCAGCATAGGCAACAGACCCTTAACCTGATCTATAACTCCAATGATGGAGAGTGCATATCCACGCTTAGGATGACCAAAGCACCTTTTTTGCTTTATGCAATCTGTTTAGAGCTAGGAGCCTAGTTTCTGATAGAGAGGGGGTCACAGTAGAGGAGCAGGTTGCAATGTTCCTCCATGTGGTTGGTCACAACCAAAGATTTAGAGTTGTCTTTTAGGAGGTCCATTGAGACAGTGCACAAACACTTCCACTAGGTTTTGTATGATGTTGGTGAGCTTATGAATGAGACGATCAAGCCTCCTAGCACTACCATTCATCCAAAGGTACTTGGGAGCCATAGATGAAATCCATTTCCATGGTTTTTAGGACTGCATTGGTGCCATTGATGGCACCCATGTGTTGGCAAGGGTGCCTAGACACATGCAGGCTACTTTCAGGGGTACGAAACACAACCCCACACAAAATGTCATGGCTGCTGTAGACTTTGATCTCAAGTTCACATATGTCCTTGCTGGCTAGGAGGGCTCTGCTCATGATGCACTTATCATGGCTGATGCCATAGAGAGGAATGATGGATTCACTGTACCTGAAGGTAACTGCACTACCTAGTCAATGTACTTATGTCCTTAACAATGCACACACTCACAGTAGATGTCCAATTATAGGTAAATTCTACCTGGTAGATGCTAGCTATGCATGCCGCAGTGGCATCCTACCCCCCTACAGGGGGGTCAGGTACCACTTGACTGAGTTTGGGAGCAGAAACCACACAACCAATGTAAGGGAGCTTTTCAACCTAAGGCACTCATCACTAAGGGTCACTGTGGAAAGGGCTTTTGGTGCACTAAAGAACATGTTTCGTATCCTAGATAACAAGCCCTTTCACCCATACAAGACTCAGGTTAAGCTTGTATTGGCCTGCTGTATTCTGCACAATTAGATCCTAGGTTTTGGTATTGACCAAGTTGTGCCACCTGAGAAGGGTTTCACTGGTAGCCAACCTGACCCACTTGAGAACCTACCCAATAATGATAGCTAGTCCCAAGACTCGAATGCCATGGCACTTAGGAGGGATGCCATCTATAATGCTATGTGGGAAGGGAGGGGTACCTCTAGGATCTGATCATGCAGTAACTTTGTTATTAAATTCAGTTTGTTTTCCCTGCTATGGAACTCATGTTTGTGTGATGTTTATATAATAATTTGTTGGACAAGGCTGAGACCAAATATGTAATAATCTGTCACTGGTTCACTTGTGTTCTTTGGCCATGAAACTCAGCCATACAATGGTAGCAGAATAGATCAATTATGATGTTCCCGTTGACCTGTTGTATGGTTGTGTCCCATGGCCAAAGCTTACGTGTATTCATGATTGTGATGTTATTCTCCTATTTACTTTGAAATTGCAATACCAAATAGGATGGCTCCACTCCTAGTTGATCTGCTTGGTGCCCAGGGTGGGTTGTGGCTTCTTCTGATGTAGTAAATGGGCTGCTGGGGGGTGCTATTACTGCTGCTGTTGCAGCTAGTGCTGCTACTGGTGATGGTGCTGTTGGTGCTGGTGCTACACTGAAGATGCATCTAGTGCCGGTGCTACACTGTAGGACCATCCTAAAGATGCAGAGTTTCTAAACTGCCCTATAAGGTTCTACACTGAGATGGAGTCCATCTTTGACCATGCTATGGCCACCGGTAGGTTTGCACTTGCTTCTAGTGAAGCCCTAGGGGCCAACCAGGCTAAGAGTGTTGCTACTAAGGTAGAGGGTCCTTCCTCTACCCATGTTCCTGCTGAGAAGATCCACACTGATGTAGGATGCAGCAGCAAAACCATAGAGCTCCTCTCCTCAGCTGTGGATGTAAAGAGGAAGAGAGGCACCTTTAGTGAGGATGAGATGCTTATGTTGACCAACATATCTGATGCTATGAATAATGTTGCCAATGCTCTTAGGGAGACTGGACCAACCCATGTTGATGCTGACCTCTACCTTGTTGTGATGGAGATGCTTGGTTTTATTGAGGAGGCATTGATAGTGGCCTACACCTACCTACTGGACAACAAGGTCCAAGGCAGGGGCTTTGTTGGCATGAGTGACAGCCATAGGGATATTTGGCTCAGGAACTACCTAGCCATGTGGTTCTTGCACATGTTGGTAACCATGTGCATTGAGGGGGTTGACTGTTGAGATGTATAGTTCCTCCACCTTCCTCACCCACTCTCTCTAATTTTGACTACAATTGAGCTGTAGGTATTTTGTACAGGTTACTTGGCAGACCCATACCTATCCTTTTGGGTTCTTTCTTGGGAGGGTGGCTAACTATATGTGCTAGAGGGCACCAGGTAGGCATTTGAGCCTAGAACTGTTGGGCAGAACAATCATGTTGTAAGGCACTATTTGTAGCCTATGTTGGATACTTTATTTGAGATCAGTTGTTCCTTATTCTCTTACTTATGACCTGTTGGTTTTGTTTCTTTTGATTGGTGGTAACTGTGGGAAATCTATAAGGCCTATGATGCAAACAACATATTCATGAGGTGGCTGTCTTGTTTAATTGGTTCTTCATGTTTTTCATCACTGCCATGGAACCCTATGTGTGCCCATCCATTCACTTGTGCTGATGGTAGCGAATGGATGTGCACAATAGGGTTTGATGGCAGTCATGACCCTGGATTTGCACTTGTTTGGTGCCTGCCCTGTTTACTTGATTATTGTGATTTGCCATGTATGTCATCAAATCCATGTGACACAACCATACCCTTGCAACAACCCCTTCTTTCTTGTGCTAATGGCTGTGTATGGATGTGCACATGGATTCCATGCCAGCCATGAGCTTGGATTTGCTAAACTACTAGTTTTTATTTTCTATGGCAGCCACCAATGATTTGAACTGAAAGAACACCACCACATTCTAAAGCTGAGGCCAACCTTTTATTACAATACCTGTGATGTCAATTCTCTTATATATGAACTTGATGATGCTGGTCATCAGTGGGGGACTTAAGATCAACGATTTGGTTCACCGCAAACCGTAGATCTTCAAGTTTCACACTCATGGCTAGTTTCATGCTTTACATTTGACTGAGGCTCAACCACTGTTTCATTTCATAGAAATGACAGGGTACTATGTTGTTTTCAATGGGAAGGCTCCTGTGATTGACTAGAGTTGGCATGAGTGCAGTAAGCATGTTGTTGGGGTGAGAAATGATATATACAAGAAGTATAGCAAGTATGACCAGGCTATTAGAGATTTTCAGGCAACCATGAGAGATGTCCATCCATCTCTTGGAGCAGCTCCTCCCCTCCCCTATGATCCTGTCCCTCATGATGCTTTTGCTCTAATCATTCCTCCTTCTGATGGTAATGGTAAGGCTGGTTGGTGAAAGAAGGTGTTAATCACCTCACTTGTTATCTTGGTGTTTGGTATATGGATGAAGGGGCCAATACTGGCTGCAACGACTGTCCCACTTAGGCTTGTGATGGGTGCATGATGGATGAGCTGCTGCTGTGTCTTACTAATTTCTATCATCCATTTCTGTTTCATATCTCCTATGTGTTGTTCAAGGTCTGCTGCTTACTGATTAGGCTGTTGATGTTGTTATTTTGCCTTGCTTTATTGGTACTTTTGTAACTGTGGGAATTAGGCCGTTGATGACAAAATGGATGGGTGCATTAGCTGGCTACATGTGCTTTTTGTTTGTGTAATCCATTTCTGTGATCTTCTACCTGTGCTGGGCTTCACAGACTTGTCTTTGGTGGCTAACTATGCTGCAAATGGACCTATTATTCCTTGCTTACTTCTTTAATTGTACCGTGTAGCCAGCTATGTTATGGATTGATCAACTGTTAATTTGTCTGAGGCCTAGTGCTGTTAACAACACTAATTGTATGGTTTACTTGATCAAAACTGTTGTAATGGATCTTCAACTCTTGCTCATTCCATTGCTATAACTGCATTTGTGCATCCTGACTATGGGCCTGGCTGAGGCAACCAACAATCAAACACAATCTCGATTTGGTAGTTGGAGTTAGTTGGTTGCTCAGCTCGGCTGCATGTGTGCAAACAAACACAATCTCAAGTGGGCCTAGCCCGTTTCACACTAGATGCCAAACAAGACCTGTTGCACCACTTGGGGCAGGCCTAGACTGGCCTGGGCCAGGCGGGCGGGCCAAGCCGGCCTCAGCCACCCTTCCAAACAGACCCCAAATACCCAAATTAGCTCGGATAGTTTGGGTATTAGTCACCGGTACCCGAACTACCCATTCCTACCCGATATTTAGACAAAAAGCCCAACACAATAGCCTCAACCCCCACTAGGCCCCTAGGTTCATTATGGCCCATCGGCCCACTTAACGCCTAAGTCCCTATTGCTCGTACCTAATCGACAGGTCATAGGAAAAAAAATCAAGCGGCGTCTCCCTCTTGGCCTCTTCCTGTCTCCCCTCAGTCCTGCTCCGTCCTCGGTCTGGACTGACGAATCGAGCATCACCGCCGCACTCACCCGCCTTGCACTGCTTCCGCACTCACTCGCCACTTGCTGTCGTCACACTTGCCCGCCGGCACGCTGCCGCCCTCACCCCTCACTGCTACCTACGTGGCTGTGACATCTCTCTGCCTCTCTGTACCTGTCGCCATATCTCCGTCATGCCCACGCAGACAGCAATCACGCTAGCTCCCGGCAAGTCGGCACCCGCAACGACATGCACTAGACGCTACACGACTGAAGGCCAACGCCCAACTCTGAACAATCATGCAATGTATGCAGTATGCCTAATCCTTTCTAACATGTTAGTTTCCGTGAAACTTGGGTACATCTTGTACACCCGAACCTGAAGCCGAACCCGAACCCGAATTATCGGGTAATGCTTTTCCAGGGCTAAGATCGAGTACCAAATTATTTTACCTGAATTTCCAAATACCTGAGTTACCTGACCTGAAATAATGCCCACTCTTGAGGTTTTTTTTTTTTGCATGTGGTTTGAAAATGAAAACTCCAGAGCGGTTGAAGACACATCATCCCATACCGCACAGCCGACAGCTCCCAGGTGACGCCTTGCTATCACACCACACAACATGTCTTGCCAAACGCTGATATGCATGCAGCCGTTGCCCCCCGTTGACGTGGACGGCGGCCTCACCAATCCCCAGTTCCCCACACGCAAATCTCACTCGCTCACGCAGTCACGCCCCCGGGCACGCCCGGGCACGCCGGGACGCGTGAGCGCCACTGGCACCGAAACGTGTTTGTTGCTGCCTGCAAGTCCCGTCCGCCGCAGCCTGCCCGCCCTGCCGTACCCGTATACGCAGCATGGGCGCGGGAGCGTGGCGAGGGGCCGGCCGGCCGCCGCCTCCGCATCGCGCTAGGGCCGGGCCCTGGCTGCTAGTGCTAGCACTAGCAGTTGCGGCATTATTGCGCTTGTGTACCTGGGCCTTGTTTAGACTGAGGCTGTGTTTAGTGCTTTTGGGCTACTATATAGGATAAATAGGTTTAAACACCACCCTGGCTGCTGCAATTTCTCACCAAACTGCTAGCACATTTAATGCAGTTGCGGCGATATTGCGCGCTTGTGTACCTGTGTAACCGCACCGGCGCCGCGCGTCGTATGAAACGTAATAAGGGCTGAAAAAAATTTAGCCACCGAATAGTAGCGTGCCTTATTTGGAAATATTGTCCTGGCTGCTATCAACTAAGCTCGATTTATCGCGTGCTTTCAGCAAACTATGCAATGCGTTATTTTTTTATCTATATTTAATGCCATGCCGCCTGCAAATTAATGTCCGTAGAGAGCGCTTTTGAGATATCTAGACAAGTCCGGAGCCCACACATGCGCCGCGCGTCGTATATCGTACAGACATGGGAGCCACCGAGCCAGCGTGCCGAGGCCCGAGGGCCTGGCTGCTACACGCCTCTCGCCTCGCGTGCTCAGCATCAATGCGGCGCCAGCCAATGCATGCCATGCCGCCTGCAGTCCGTAGAAGCGCTGTAGATGGCCAGTCCGGAGCCCACACATGCAGAGGTGGTGAGCCGAGGGCTCTCTCGGGTCTCGCAACCTCTGATCGCATGGGCCCGGCTGGGCAGCTCACGGCGACCGTAGACTGCTAGAGTAGTGAAAACGAGAGGAAGATAGAAAGAGACGTGCGCCAGCGGCCGAGCGAGCCTGCGCGGTTATAAAACGCTAGGGGAGAGAGGGGAGAGCAAGACGAGAGCGCTTGGCGAGGTGCGGCGGGGGTCCTGGGTGACTATAACCACACTAGCGCAGCGCGCGAAGGAGCAAAGGGGGGAATCTCGCCATGGCCACCAGGCCGGGCCCTTTGACTGAATGGCCATGGCAAAGGCTTGGCAACTTCAAGGTGCGTAGCACGGCAGGCATGCGTGCATGCATGATGCTTGCTACTCTCCTCCCCTCTTTCATCTTCGTATTCTTCATCATCCTCCTTGGCTTCCGCCTGCGTGTGAGATCTATCATCTATGCGCCATGGCAGTTTCGTTGCTAGCTGTAGGACTACCGTCGTCTGTACTGCTTGCTTGCGTGATGGTGAGCTTGAGAGAGCTTCTTCAGCTAGGAGGTTACTGTGTGTGTACTACATCGCGCGTACGTGAGTAAATAAATTAATTAAAACGAGATTATTCTAGCACTAATTCATGCGTATGTAACTGCTTTTTGCAAGGAGGCGATGGCAGTGTGCTGCCCTTATTTTTTTTTTCCACTTCAAACGAGATTATTTAGGACGCTGTTACATTGTCCCCATAGGCCATATATAGCTTTTGGCTTGCTTAAGTCCATCACATTTATCAAGGCATCAACACGTTTCTGTACAGTAGATAATAACGTCCCACAAAAAAGAAAGAACTGTTCATACTTTTCCGTATTTATTATTGCCTACTAGTAAAAGAAGGGGGCCAGGGGCAATTTCTTATATAAGAAACTAAAATAAAATAAAAAGCTCATCATCATTTCGTGTTCTTATGTCGGAGACAAAGTTCAAGCATTTTTTTTCCATCTTCTTCTGAAATATAATACTGTAAGCATATAAATGTAGCCAGGCGCATAACAAAGCCAACAATCCTGGGTACAAATAAATGTGTGTGCTCTCCTGGCTCTTTTGGGATAGACATGCATATGGCATGGTTACACTACCAGATCGGCAGATCCGATCATCTGATCGAGATGGACAGGCGATGGGAATTATGCCCCCGATCATATTTCGCTCTCAGTCCAAGGGTGCTGGTGGTCCTCACGGATGATCCTCGCCATCAAAGCCAACCTCAAAATGAAGCGCGCGGTGCCACGCCATGCATGCGCTCATCCTGTTCGCTTACTTATTAGTTATATGATATGGTGTTTTTCTCTCGTACCGACTTATAAGCCATAGAAACAATCAAACGAACAGGTTCATCAATTACGTGCATTCTGAGTGTAATCTGACTGACAGTGACAATAATATCGTCAGCTAGGTAGCTGTTGGTTTGTGGTCTCATTCATGAGTGGAGTGGAATTCATGCATGCAGTACTTGGTGATGGGTCCCGTGGTGGTCCACGGCGCGCGGCGGGTGCTCGCGCGGGGCTGGGGCGACATCGACCTGGCCTTCGCGCTCATCCTGCCGTCGCTGCTGCTGCGGATGGTGCACAACCAGATCTGGATCAGTGCCGCCCGCTACCAGACGGCGCGCAGCAAGCACCGCATCGTCGACCGCGGCATCGAGTTCGACCAGGTTGACAGGGAGCGAGGCTGGTGAGCAAGTGCTGTGCTGCTGGTTCATCAATCTCTTTCTCAGTCTTCGATAGCAAAGCTAGCTAGCTAGCTAGCTGTTGCCTGTTGGATCGGCATCAGCAGATGAACATGAGCATGGTCATGCATTGCAGGGACGACCAGATCATCCTCAACGGGCTGCTCTTCTACGTGGGCTACCTGACGATCCCGAGCGTGAGGCACTTGCCGGCGTGGAGGACGGACGGCGCCGCCGTGATGGCGCTGCTCCACGCCGGGCCCGTGGAGTTCCTCTACTACTGGTTCCACCGGGCGCTGCACCACCACTTCCTCTACTCGCGGTACCACTCGCACCACCACTCCTCCATCGTCACCGAGCCCATCACCTGTAAGTAATGCTGATGCTGATGCTGATGCATCGCTTCTACTACTAGCATGCAGTGGACTAAAGGAAGAATAAGTTCGTATGTGCTCTGGCTGAAGCAAGTAACAAAACACATCGATCCGTGTCCTGTTTTGTTCGTTGTAGCTTTACTGAAGAAAACTCGACGTCGTGTACCTTGTTGATGTAATATTAGAGCCAATAAGAGCCAACAACACATCTCACACAGCAAGTACAGAAAAAATGGCCACACGCGAAGTGAATGGATGGAGCCGTTTACATGATAGCACAGTAACATGGATGGAGCCGTTTACCCATTTACTCCCCTCCATCCAACCAGAAATGTCCTGGGCCTGGGCCTGGGCCTCTCTGTCATTCAAGCCCCCTGATCCATCAACAGTGCGACCCCAGCCACCGCCCTAGGCCCTACCAACCACCACAGACCACACTACAGGCTACAGATACAGTGTAGTACAGGACCACATTGATACTACCACGTGTAGTCTCAACGACTCTGAGGCGTCTACTGCACGCACTGGATCGGGCTGGGCCCGTCCGGCCCGTTCCACTGTCCTATCTTCTGTGTGAAATAAAAACGGCGCATGTGATTGCTCTGAGAAAGCTGCCGTGGCATGTTTTTTGTTCGGCTAAGAGTTAAGACACCCTTTCCAATATGGACCCAAATTGGGCCGGGAAAACACTGGAACTGCTGAGTGAAAGCGACTACTCATGCAACCGTGCAGTGTTTCAGGGCCTTGTTTAGATACCTTTAAAATTCCAAGTTTTTTCGCTCTCTCTTCATCACATCAATTTTTAGCCGTTTGCATGGAGTATTAAATATAGGTAAAAAAAAACTAATTATACAGTTTAGTTGGAAATCACGAGATGAATCTTTTGAACCTAGTTGGTCCACGATTGGACAATATTTGCCAAATAAAACGAAAGTAGTACTATTTATCGGGTTGAAAAAAGTTGCAATCTAAACGTGGCCCACGTGGCCCAGATGTTAGCGATGAGACTAGCTTGCCCCAAGGATCATTGAAAACCAGCCATCTTAGATTTTAGTGGGTTTTACCATGCATCGGTAAATTAAATTTTACTGGGTTTTATTACTGGGGTTTACCATGTATCTTGGAGTCTGCATAAGGTTTGTGTTGTTCATGTTTCCTTGCTGCAGCTGCAACACTGTAGCAGTCATGTATAGATAGACTACTGATCCTGTTATAGTGGACAATTGCTCCTCGATTCGTACTAATGCACTTACCTAATGCAGCGGTGATCCATCCCTTTGCTGAACACATGGTCTACTACTTCCTGTTTGCGATCCCCATGCTGTCGACTATTTACATTGGGAATGCCTCTGTTCTTGGCTTTGTGCTCTACATCGCCTATATCGACTTCATGAACAACATGGGGCACTGCAATTTCGAGCTGGTGCCCAAGTGGGTGTTCCAGGTCTTCCCTCCTCTCAAGTACCTCATGTACACGCCATCGTAAGTGCTACACAAAAGTAGCAAAAAAATATTTGGGCTCATTGATTCCTAACATCTCGCAAAACACAATGTAACATTTTTGTTGTTGTTGTTGTTGATTTCATACAGGTTTCATTCTCTGCACCACACGCAGTTCCGCACAAACTACTCGCTGTTCATGCCATTCTACGACTACATATACAACACCATGGACAAGTCATCTGACCAGCTGTATGAGAGCTCACTCAAGGGAACAGAGGAAACACCTGACCTTGTTCACCTCACGCACATGACTGACCTGCAGTCGGCCTATCATCTACGGATTGGATTCGCCTCCATAGCGTCCAGACCGTCTGACAGCTCCATGTGGTATATGTGGGTGCTGTGGCCTGTTGCGTGGCTGTCAATGGTGCTTGCCTGGGTTTATGGGTCCTCTACGTTTGTGGTTGAGAGAATCAAACTAAGGAAGCTGAAGATGCAGACATGGGCAGTACCACGATACAACTTCCAAGTAATCAACTTCTCCTCTACATATGGCTTTCTTTCTATCTGATGGTGTGCAAACTACTGACAGTTTTTTTTTCTCTCCCCTGCAGTATGGCCTGAGCTGGGAGAGAGAATCGATCAACGACTTAATTGAAAAGGCGATATTAGATGCTGATGCAAGAGGTGTTAAAGTGCTCAGTCTAGGACTGTTAAACCAGGCAAGAAATTATTACTTTACAACTCTTGTTGAAACTATAAGACTAGGTGCTTACCGCAGTGTGGCCTTTTCTTTGTACCTTCTGGGCGCAGGCGAAACAGCTAAACGGTGGTGGTGAACTATTTAGGCAGAAGTATCCAAAATTAAGAGTTCGCCTTGTCGATGGAAGTGGCTTAGCGACTGCTGTGGTGCTCAAAAGCATTCCTCATGACACAAAGCAAGTTTTTCTTCATGCAGGCCCTTCTAAGATAGCTTCTGCCACAGCTTTCGCATTATGTGAGAGGGGCGTCCAGGTATGTTTATACTTTATACAATCCTGCATATCTTTTTTGCATTATCCTGTACCTACTTACAGTTTTTCACTGAAAATGGCACTACACTTGTTTGGTGGATCAGGTGATCATGAATCCAAAGAAGGAATATGATACGCTTAAGTCACAGATTGCAGATAGCAAAGCAAGCTACTTGAAACACTCCAGCAACAACACGCCTCAGGTAAACGTTTGTTTTAAAATGGGATTTCCCATTTTTTCTATATATTAAAGGAAAGGTGTCAATTGCCAGAAAACAAAACTGAGAACCAATCCAGTTAAGTTTTATATGCTCCTTCATAAGGATGTTAATGGGCAGATCTGAAACATTATAGTTACAAAGCATGTACAATTGACAAACCTAATAGATTCTAAACTATGCTGGAAGTTAAGATAGGAAGTCAAAAGAAAAGCATTTAACTTGCCTTTGGCATGAAATGTGAGTACAGACTTGATCATGGTGAAAACAGCTGTTGGAGCCTATCAAGTAGTACAGGAGCACAATGCCTTAGTGAATTCTTCTAATAGTAAACAAAGAAAATATCTTATCGTGCGAAATAGCTTATACTGTTTTAAAATGGGAATGTACTAATAAATAAAATTAGCGTACTAAAGAAAAGGTGTTAATTGCCAAGCAGAACCGAGCCAGATAAGCTTGATATATACTCCATATGTGCTCCTTCATATGGATGTTAATATTGGACAGACCTGAAACATTACAGGAATAGTAAACATGTCCAGTTAACAAACACTACAGATTGTAAATGATGTTGGAAATAAAAGAAGGGAAAACATTTAATTTAGCCTTTTTCATGAAATGTGAATACAGGCTCAACAAAAGTTACTCGGAGACTAAGTAGGACTGGAGCAGAGTGCCTTGATAGTAGTAACCAAGGATATCCTTTAAAAAAAACATTTTTTTCAGAAAAATCGAGAAATGCTTTGTCATGGAGTTCAGCTTATACTGATGGTGATTTCTTAAACTGCTGCAGATTTGGCTAGTAGACAACATTGACGATAAAGAACAGAAGATGGCACCACAAGGAGCTATATTCGTTCCAATATCACAGTTCCCCGTCAAGAAAATTCGCAAGGATTGCACTTACTTGAGCACTCCAGCAATGAAGATCCCTGAAACAATGCAGAATATCCATGCCTGCGAGGTAACAATGATAATGAGTATAGTTAATCCACTTCATCAAATTTGAGGAGGAAAAAAAAGGAAATATAAGGATGTATTTTTACCGAGCCTTTTCTGAGCATGATTTTATTTGTTTCCTTGACAGAACTGGCTGCCAAGAAGGGTGATGAGCGCTTGGCGCATCGGCGGAATACTTCACGCCCTGGAAGGATGGACCATGCACGAGTGTGGGGATGCCATGATACATACTGAGAAAGCATGGTCAGCTGCTATCAGGCACGGATTCATTCCTTTGACTAAAGGTTGAGGAGCTTTCAAAGCCCGGATTCTGTAGGCTGGGAGATGTATACAACTGCAACTCTAGATGGCATTCGACAATGCTGGCAAACTATGTTTCAGCATGATTCTAGCTGCCCGGTATAAAAGCCAACTATGGTCTTGATGAGTCGTCGGGGAGGCACATCATGAATGCCTACCTTGATTCCAATAGCTTAATAATTATACATATGTTGTGTCATTGTATGATGCAGGTGTGAGAAACTGCTTTATGGCTGTGTCGGTGACGTATACAATTATAATAAAATGTCGATTTGGGCTGTCCCTTTGAATTTCTGGTGGGCAGAAAAGACTAGAAGTGATATGCTACAACAAGACGAGCACCAGTGGTCTAGTGGTAGAATAGTACCCTGCCACGGTACAGACCCGGGTTCGATTCCCGGCTGGTGCACTTGTCCTTTTTTAATGCAACAATTCTTTTTTTCTGCTAGCCGATCTCGCATCGATGCAGAACAAGCAACGTCCCTCGAATCCAATGATAAACTGCGTGATTCAGCAGCCCTGCACACGCGACACAAATTTTATTTTCTCTGAAGACGTTTAGAAAAGCGTGCGCAATCTGCTTGACAGCATCATCGAGGCGACAAAATTTTAATGTCATGTCCAACAAAGCATGCAAGAACAGAGAACAGGTTTCCAAACAGGCAAAGCCGCAAGGAGCCCATGAGCCAGGGTAGTTTGTAGGGTATCAGTTAGCACGACAAGCATTGCAATAAGATGGTCCAAACGACCACAGGATTACCAATTGATAAAACCCCTAAGTTAACCTAGTCAGATCCGTCGCAGTGCTCAGTCACATTCCAGAATTGCTTACATCTCTTGCTGACAAAATAATCGAGAACAATTGTTTCTAGTAAGCCTGGTAGATCAACGTTTCTTGAACCACCCCTGAATCAGTAACCTAGACGACACCATTTGTCCATGCCCCGAGCAACTAACTCTAGATTCAAAGGTAAGCAAGGCATCATCTGTCTTGACGATGAAAGAATGGGACCTAGCACAATTCTGCACCGCCTTGTCTCTCTTGAATATTCTCAGGATAACACCAGAGCTCTAGATTTAGATCCTCCTGTGAAAGCATGTCAGCCTTTACAGTCAGCTGATATAGCCTAAGCGACAAAATATCACCAGCAAAACAACCTATTGAAACAAATTAAGCAATGCTAAATGACTACAAACTCAGATTTTTCGGACACAAAAGTGATTGGGTATATATTTTATCCAGTTGGTGCCGAATCTAATTTGAGTACAATACCATGATGTGTGCCAAATCTAATTTGGGTACAATACCATGGTGCGTGAGACCATATTAATTCTCCAGCAGAGAATTGTTTACACATGAATAGACAGAGAACATAATAATTGCCTAAAAGTAGGAAATAAGCATTAGATCACAAAATATCACCAACAAACAGCACTTTAACCTAATCAATCAAAGTAAAATGGCCACAAGCACAGAATTGGACACAAACGTGATTCAGTATTCATTTACTTAAGTTGGTGCTAAATCTAATTTGAGCCCTAGAGATTAATCACACTGAAGGTTGAAATTATATTCTTTTCTCCCAAAACAAAGCTGGTGAAAAGGCAAAAATATATAATACCAAGGCAGTACTCAGATATATTGAGCAGACCATTCTAATTCTCTAATTCTTGTGCAGAAGTTGTTTACACTCACATAGACAGACAATGTATTTGCCTAAAAGTAAGAAATCAGCATCATTAACATTTTTGTTGAAATTCTAACACAGTTTGTAGTAACTGACTTTCTTCCTTTAGAACTGCAGTAAATGACAGTTTAACGCACCATAAAAGCAACCTCCGGACACTTACTTGATATGCGCCTTTTGTCCCGACAAAATTTGCTTCCACAATGGCATTTGAATGCCTTGACAGGATGGTTGACATCATCAAAATCAATTTCATAGTCCTGCGGTTGGAATGTGCTAAATATTATTGCATATTCTGTTAGATAATTGAAAGTAGGGCATGATATAGGTTGCCACGGCACCAGGTGGGGCAAGATGGGTAATGCAACCACAGTGGCATAAGCAGCATGGGAATGTGCCAGATTGCAAGTGGTGTGCGACATCTATGCAGTCTGTTGGCTAATTTGTTCCAGTTGATTAGGAGATATGGGCCTGTTCGGCTGGTATTAAAGCCGGCTGCAGTTGTTTTGTTGTGAGAGAAAAATATTGTAGATTCTAGCTGATAAGCCGGCTGATAAGTTCCTCTCCCTCTCTGTAGCTCGCTTCAGGGCGACGAGGTGAACAACCTCTGCCAAACCCCCCCACACCCACACCCACACACAACAGCCCATAACACTAGGTACCAAGAATCTACCAAACATTTCATTACAAAATTAAAAATACATCCCACCAAACAAAATAACTATGGTATGGTGAAGTATATTCATATATATCTCTAAAGTCATACAATGGCCGCCACAATGCCCCTGATGAAAACAAGATGAAACCAAATTCAGCTAGGATGGAAGAAATTGGTCGTTCCACAAATTTTCCCCTAAAAAATGGCCACTGCACAGCCATGTTCGTTCATTCACTTGCTATGAGTAGTAAAGTGCAATGGAGGATGAATAACCACAATTGCAGGAACACCACCTACCCATGTCAGTTCTTCAAAAGGCTCTACTTCTCTCGTTGTGAAGAATGCCAGCTGATAAACAAGGAGCAAGAAAAACAAGGTTACAAGGACTCAAATTTAAATTTAAGCTATAGCATCAGTAACATGGTAGCATTGCAATTGTACAGTTGTTGAGTTTCTCTTTATTTTAATAAAACTTTACAGTGGGGGCCTCCACTGCTGTATTTTCGGTTCAAAAAAAAGGTAGCGTTGCACATACATGATAGTAGTGGTGGTCAGGCGTCTCAATCTCAACAGGAATTGCAGTAATATTGCAATCAAAGCATCTGCAGTATACAATAGCATGCCATGTTATCATGTAGATAGTATTGATTGGACAACATGGCATCAGATCTTTTTGTTTTGTTTAGATGCTGGCATCAGGAAATAATACAACCAGCAACCAAATAATCATTCATCTACTAAATACTTTACATGCATATGTAAAGAGACTGATCAGACAAAGGCAGCACAAGCAAAAATGAATAACGACAAGAAATACAAGCACAATCATGCAGGATATTAGAGATGAAGCCATTGTGGTGTATGGCGGGAGCCAAAGGGCTTCGTAGCTTATGGCCATGACTGTTTTGTTGGTCCTTGGTATTATTTAGTTTTTGTGTTTTCTTCTATTATAATTGTCATGCCCTTCTAAGGGGTTGTTTGAGTCGCCTAGACTCCTTATTCTCCTTCTTAATATAATGATATGCAGCTCTCCTGCGTGTTCAAGAAAAAAAGAAACACAAGCACAAACAAAGTCTCACCAGCTCATAGAACCATTCAATTCACAAATCGTAGAGCTTCACAAGAATCATAATGAATTTCTGATCAAAGGACGTTACCCTAGTTAAAACCATAAAGAAATATTACCTGTGGTTTATAAACCTCGCCACATTCCCATAAAAAGTACCATCTAGACAGAGGGCTTCCTCATCCTTCAGAACACCTTCAGTGCCCCAGTCAGAATCGAGTAGCACAGGATATGTATGCTTTGCTTTACCAGTCTTTTGGTTATTTTTCCCAGATAGCTCAGTGTTTCGCTCATATAGTTCAGTGTTTGTTAATATTTCACCAACATACTCACAGACAAAAGCACCACGAGGAAGATTTTCAGCAGAGCGCAAGCCCCATCCCTTTTTCCCTGGAGTTAAGAACACCTGAGGACGGAAAAGATTAAGAAGGCATACATATAAGGTGTAGTCAGCTGTTTAGCAAAAGAGTAAACAGAGAATGCATAGAATCCAAGGAAAGGCTTTTTATTTATTTATGATGATCAGGTAACAAAAAGATGCTACAGATTGGCAGCTTGCAAGCGGCATCATAAATCCATCATATTTGTCTGTTGCACTGATTAGTGTTAATTTTATATCTAGCAGGAAAGGGTAATACCAATGATCTTAAACGGTAATAAGTTACTTCACTTGCCTGCAGCTTACGAGTAATTCCTCGCTGAACCACACGGTTTCCACAATTTCTGGTGCAACCACATTTTCTCCAGCATTCCTTGATAAATTTCTTAATACGGTGCCCTTTACAAGCTTCAGGTTTGTTTACTCCCTTCATTTGTTCAATAGGACAAACACCCTTGCAGTAGAAGTAAGATTGTTCAAGTGGTTCCCGGAGCATTGAGACACAAGCATCTAGAAATCCTTCCTTAAGCAGGCCATCTCTTGTGTATGCAAATTCTCCACCGGTTTCTCGCGCACAAGCGCAAGGAAGTGGCTCTGCTAGACAATCTCCAAAACAACCAGAACAACAATTTTCATCTCCAATTCTAGCAAGTGAGAGGTTGATATAGGCAGCTTGGAAGGTGGTATTTTGCGATATATAGTAAAATGGAGGAGGAAGAACCCCATCCTCTCCACTGACTATTGGAATGCTCAAACATTCTTCACCCCTCGTTATATCATTGACATCATGATATTGTCTCTTGATGCCTGTGGGTAGATGCTGAATAGCCTGCATATTACTAGGATTATTCTGGTTACCTCCAGAATCAGCACTACCACCATTGGGTCCAGAACCCAGATCAAGAATACACTGGCAAATATCATCCAAAAGTTTCATGAAAGAGAAATTGGGTTCTAGGATCTTGTATGTCCTGAGGCATTTGTCCTCCATTGCCTTGCATATTGACTCAATGCCAGGCATTTGAAAATCAGAACCATTTGCCAAGGAAGGGTTGAACAAGAATGATAGCTTCCCTTTTCCATAGTTGGACAATTCTACCTCAAAGTTGGTGGAAAAATCTTTGCTGCTTACAATTGCTTGGCTGCTACATGCATCAACCATCTGTCCTTCATGCGCAACCAAAATACCTTTAAACTTCTTATCAGTAGGGTGCTTGACACCAGAAATCATGTGAGCATCTTCATGTCCTGAATGATATTGTAACGGCATAGAAAAACGAAATTAGTAATAAGTTAACAAATGTATCAGGAGTCAACCAAAGAATATGGACAGGAGAGACAAACAAAACAGGAAATGAAACATATATCAACATCCTCATAATAGTTGAGTGTTCATTGTTCAAACATAATTTTCAAATCTGCAACACGTGAAACTATAGCTTCTACCACCATATAAACATAGAGATATGCACGGGCCTTTCTCAAATTGTCTGGCATACTAGCAGCAAGTTCTGTATATAAAAAGAACAGCACTGCAGTTAGCAAAATGATGCCCTAGGGTACTTGAAATTTACGCATCAATTCTCTTAGACCATTAATGATTTTTTCAGCCTGCAAACAGGAATGTAAATCCACTAGTTTTTAGCTTTTTTGTCAAACACATTGGAGAGCCACATATCACTTCATCATAGAAGAAAGTGTACGAGTACAAAATACATACACAAACCTCTTACTACAAGATTATTAGAGCATTCATTAAGGGCATCCAAACAAGGCCGAAGTGAAATTGACCCAAAAGCATTTTCTATTCTACTCCCTCCGTTCCAAACTATAGTTTGACCAACACACTTTAGCTTTGTCTAAGTCAAACTTCTTTAACTTTAACCAAATTTTAGAAAAATATATCGTCATCTGCAAGATCAAATAATTGCACTATTAAAATATATTCAATGGAGAGTTCAATGAAACTATATATTGATGTATTTTTCTATAAACTTGATCAAAATTAAAGAAGTTTGATTTAGGACAAAGCCAAAGTGAACTATAATTTGGAATGGTGGGAGTACTATCAGTCGCTGAATCTTCTATCACCTAAACAGATAGTATTATAGAAGCAATTCAAAGATAAATTTATCAAAATAACAAAAAATAACAACACACTAAACAAAAAGAGACAAAAAAAATGATCCCTTTCTATTGCATGTTTACAACCTCTCCACTCCACTCATTCAATCATAATTCTGATTCCTTGTCAATTTAAATAGCGGGTTTAATGGGGTAAACATTGTTTAGAGAAAACACAAAACAACATCTATTTATTAAGAACAAAAAACAAGTTTCAAAAGATGGAGGAAGTATATGTAGAAGTAGTCGAGTTGAAAATATTTTTGCTGCACCCAAAGCAACATATATTTATATAAAAAAGAAAAACACCAAAATCTATACATCCAGATAGACATGATAATCTATATTCTTTCCAATGCAATAGAAATGTGAGTAATTGTGGGAATCCAAAAACAGAAGCATTAAAGTCTGAAAACCGAATACGCGTCACTGTTAAGAAAACGGAAATTATGAGAGTAATCTTATAAAGGCACATTACCGTTATGACAGCTGGGTTCCAAAACTTCAGGACACATAACTGCAAGTGGGGTCTCAAAGGTGCAAGGATCTTGACTTTCAAATAAAGTCGAACCGTTTTCACCAATTTTTGTAGTCTCTGCACGACTTTTTTTCATTTTTTGTTCCTTACTAATGATAGTTTGTGAAGACTCCAGCAATTGGTTAGTAGTGGTTCTCCCCTCAAGGGATTCTGCTTCTTGCTGACGTGGCACTTCAGTCAACTCTCTCTTCACACTGCCATGCATACAAGATTTCGCCTTCTGGCCATGCTCTTTAGTCTTAAGCTTCTTCCTATGGTGGTCTGAATCCAGATTCTTCTTCTCAGCTCGCTTTTTCTGCCCTTCCTGCTACAGCGATGAGTTTGGCTTAAACATGGTAAACTAATGAACTAATAAGAAGAATGGTTCCCATATGTATTAAATTCAGCATCATATATCAGTTTCTTATTTGCCACAAAATCATTGCGTATCATCAGAATTAATTTATGTCGAAAATATGATTGCTTCAAAAAAAGCATTAAATATCTAACTAGAGATCTGAGCAAAGCCTCTACAAAATCAGAATAGAAGGCCAGAACATACTTCGGGATCTGAATCACTAAGTATAGCATCAGCCAAAACAGAATAGTTATCAGCTTCTATATGCTCCCAGTTTCCATCATATACTTTTAGCAGTTTTTTCAATACTCGTACAACAGTTTCCTTTGAGAAACCAAAATCAGCCGTTGATTTAATTGCATCATCAATTTTTTCCATGGAAGTCTTGGATAATTCCATCCTGCTAGCAATGAAACAAGTAAGCTTCAAACATGATATGAAAAATGACCCCTCAAAGAGCAGATATTAATTTATTCCTAAAAGAATGGGAAAGATATACTTCACATCATGAAATTCGTTAAGAATACTTGCAATGCCAGGTTACAGTGGTTAATAAGCAGGGAAGATATAAGCTATAAGCAGCTTAGATTACCTTGGACTAAGGATTCTTCATTTTCTACATAGAACCATAGTTTTTGAGATTGGATCTCTATAGAAGCGTTAGAACAAGACTTAAGAGACAACTTATTCTTGCTGAATCTGATACTTCGTCCTTATATAACTCATGGATTGGTATTGGAATGGACTCATAGGAAACAAACCATATCTTATGGAAGCTAATTGATACATCCAAAATAAATCCTTATTCTAGGAAAGTAACCAAGTGTATAAGAATGGAGCAAAATAACTTGATTGACACGATGAACTTTCCTAAATCTGGCTGTGTGGACGTTTAGGTCTGCAACAGATCAGAGTGCCACAGAAACAACACCTCAAAAGGCAATATGCAGTAAAATTTACATTATTCTTTTAACACCTTTTTACTATCTATGGTAACTTTTAAGTTGTATTCTAACTGTAGTTCTTGTTCCTACTAAATACTAACAGTGGCGGAGCTTGAACAACATTCTATGGGGGCCCATCAATAAATTTGGGGGGGGTTACTAATGATGCATGAACCAATTTAGCCATGGATTACTGTATGTTATTAAGAAAAATGAAGAAACTAGGGGTGGCCATTGCTAAACTAAATACTAAACTCCAAAAGTATGTATCACCGTCCTACACTTCATCTCTAAGTTATCATCCACACTAGATATATGAAAATGTCTTATCAAATATTTCAGTCTGTTTGATGGAAATAGCAGCAAGGATGAAGAAATACTTTTTCTTTAATTCATGAACACATGATGAACAAACTTCTTTTCATAGGAGCATGGTGCATATATATGGCTACAAGAAGAATCAGAACAGGGCACTAACTAGTAATTGTGTGCAGAAGCCCCAAAAACTCAAAGTGATTACACCAAAGCAAGGCAACAAAATAATATGGACAAAAGAAAAACCTCAGTGGTCTCTCAAACGCCATGTTGCAGCACAGCACACACAAAATGGGCATGTATGAGGTGCAAGAATTTTGAGTTTTTGCACAAGATATTGCTTGTAAGACTAGAGATGCATCAAATACAGGACCACCTAAACTGTCTGGCTATCCAATGCAAGACAGTAAGGATTTGGTTCATAACCCCCCCCCCTCCAAAAAAAGGAAAAGAACCCCACACACAAAGTAAAGGTTTATCAACGTTATTTTACTACCTGGGACACTATAGCTAAATGATGGTTGGAGAACTTAGAAAGTAATTGAAATTGTTAAAACAAATACACCTCCGTTCCAAATTGTAAGTCGTTCTGCCTTTTCTAGATAGATACTCCCTCCATCCCAAATTATAAGTCATTCCAACTTTCTTGGAGAGTCCAAGCATCTCAAGTTTGACCAAAATTATATAGATAATTACAAAGATTTATGACATCAAATAGGTATAATATGAAAATATAATTAATGAAGAATCTAATGATACTTATTTGGTATCATAAATGTTATTATTTTATTATATAAATTTGGTCAAACTTGAGATTCTTTGACTCTCTAAAAAACTTGGAATGACTTATAATTTGGGACGAGAGGCAGTAGCTTTTACTCGTCCCTCTTTGGAAAGTTCGTTCGGAAAATCGGGGATCGAGACCCCATTGCCATGTATAATCCTAGCTCTCTTCTATAAAGTGCACTCTGTAATCATCCTTTGGATGATTGATAAAGACAGCTGCAATACACATCGGTTTTCACGTGTCACATCTCATTGGATCAGTCAAATTACATCCATCTAGTTTGAACCCAAATCAAAGAAAACTGGATTTTGCCAAATACTCCGTATGCACTATACCCTTTCATGTCACTTGCACCAGAAAAATCCAAACAGTTGCCCAAACATGAGATATATGCATTTATTTTCTCAATGCAACGAAATTTATGTACTTGGGACATAGGATCAAAAGGATATGAAATTGATTGTATTACAAATCATAAAAAAATAAAATTTGTAATCGTATTCATCTCTTCAGTGGGATTGCCAAAACCCTTTCAGAAACATATCTAGAAGTTTGGAGATTCTCTACAAAGATACATGCAAAATAATTGATCTTACATAAGGAAGCAAAATTTTAAGATCAAACTCAACTCCACCGGATGGTATGAAAATTTTCAAACATGTCACTATTCATGTAGTCTTTATCAACTTTATATCTTTCAAATGAAGCTGAGTTTTACCTTAAAATTTTGCAACCTTGTGTAAGATCAGTTATTGTACACGTCGACTTTTTTTTAGAGTTTTCCAAAACATAGATATGCCATTGAGAGAGTTTCCGAACAAATCCATATTGAACGGTGCACCAAGGAACATCAACATACTTGTCTATCATAAGAGCGTCTCCAAGAGTCTTTCTTAAACTCAATCTCTAAATCATCATTTAGAGAGTCATTCGAATAAAAATCGCTCTTTTATATCTTTTGTTATCCAACAACTTTTCTATAGGTTGTGCACGCTCTAGAGAGCCAATCTCACTCTGCCATCTTTGGCTAATGAGAAATCCGGAATAGAAAATAATAATATTTGGAATAATTAAAGAATTAAAGAATCTGTTGAAACTTAATTTTTTCACCAAAATTTCGATTCCTATCAACAAGGATATAGAGAGGTTCTTAGAGTTGCTCTGACAATACAAGTGGGCACTTGAAAAATGTGTAACAGGCCAGAACAACACCAAAACCTTTACAGAGAAAAGTGACAGAACAATCCCAAAACCACATCACTCTCGGAGAAACAGGCCGAAACCATCCCAAACCTCGGAGAAACAGCCCAGAACAACCCCAAACGGCCAAATCCATATTAGTCAGTCTCACGGAGAAACACAAACAGGCCAGATCAACATCAAACTCACCCTACTCTCGTAAAAACAGGGCACAACAACATCCCACATCTAACCCACATTACTCGCAACAGCAACAAGTGAGGCAAGAGACACGCATGTACCTTACCTTGCTCACAACCACCGAACGGACGAAGACCAGAAAACTGAACCACTGCGCCGCCTCTCCCACGCTTCCGCCGAAGGTGGAGCGGACCGAAAACCCCAGACTAGTCGCAGCCAAAGCAACAGAGCGCGTCAGAATTCTCGGAAACGGGCCCGAAAAACCCCACCGTGAAAACCCCATTCCGCAGTCCGCACCACAAACAACACGCAACAAAATGCAAACGCACGCACCAACTGCACGAACGCGCAACAAAATGCAAACGCACACACCCACTGCACGAACGCGTACCTTCCTAAGTGAGCCGCCGGAGGCGACGAAACCGAGGCAGGCAGGGACGATCGGCGTTCCTCCAGCGGCGTGATCACGCCGCCGCCGGCGCGCCTCCTGCGCGAGCCGCCCGAAACTGACAGCCCCCGCTCACTCCCCGCGACGGACGACGCCAGCTGGCGCGCGATCGCCGCCACCGGGCTAGGGTTTGGAGGCCAAGCGATTCCGAAGAGGAAGAGGCGTCGTTGAGGCGAGAGAGGGCTTTTGGCACGAGGCGTGGCGTTGGCGTGGGAGACCTTTGCCTTCCGAAACAGGGGAGAAAAAGGAAGGGGTTGGCTGTACGACTGGCCAGATGGCAAAAGCGAGCCAGGCGACGAGGAACAGAGCAAGGGGCCAAATTGCCAAAACAAGCAACACGGTGTTATGATCCCCCCGGTGGCCGGTATGCTCGGCAGCCTCGGCTGTTTATCTTCCCTCGGCCGGTCGGCCCTGCCCCTGCGCGTGGCAGAGGGTTTTGCGAACAGGTCCCCAAAATTATTGCGTTTTTTTGTTTTCGAAAAACGTGCATGCATGATGCATTGGAGTCGTATGATCATAATCGGAAAATTTAGTACTCCGTCTCCATACGATGCAAATTTCTTCTCACAATCAAACAAGTGATAAAAGAATATCTGATGCCTAATTATACCGTCCAAGGTTTCATTTTTTTCCAACGTGCCCCGAGATTAAAAAAAAAGACAACCGCATCATGTTTGCCTTTCTTTTCTCCTCGTCTTGTACCAAAAAATAGCGATTGCAAAAGAAAAAATATTTTGCTTCCTCTTTAGATCTAGGCACGGGGATTAAGAAGAGGTGCAAAAAAAAAGTGGTGTGGATAGGAAATGAGGAGAGAGAGAGAGAGATTAAGATGTGTTGAGAGAAGAGAAGGATGCATTGAAAAGTGTGAATGATATTATTATAGGAGAGAAGTCTATCCAGCAACCGATTTTTTGGACCGTCGATCTCCTCGTCCAACGGCTCACACTCTTCTTTCTCCTCTCAACGCCCACTGTTCTTTTTGTTTCTTGCTGGAGGAGGAGGAGACCTACCTCGTCGGGCCGTCGGATCCGCCATAGCCGGAACGGGGTGGGGGGCTGGGGAGGAGCTCGATGCGGGTGGGGGCGCATGGAGGTGATGGGGCGCGGGCACGGGAAGGAGGTCACCGAGTTGGGGAAGAAGGGGTTGGGGCAGGCTCGGGCATGGGCGTCGGTCACCGGAGCTAGGGAGAGAAGGGGTTGGTTCGTGAGGATGTTGTCTAGTACCTCTGTGGAAATTATCAAACCTTGACGTGCTAAACTGCAAAAATGAGGTCTGAGTGCAACGACTAGCAACATGCTCGTTTTATCCCAAAATAAATGCACATCTCGCCTATCGAGAAGTCAAGCTTCTCTAAATTTGACCAAATATGCATACAAAAATATTAAATCTACGATGCGTACTGAGGCCAATCTCAGTGGAAGTTTCATGTGGGTTTCATTTGTATTAAATAGGTTACTACATATGCATTTTTTATGACTCGGCAGTGTACTTCCGTCCCAAAAAGAATACAATTTTAGCACAGTGT